AGACTTTGTGTGTCTGTGCCTGGACTGATTTGGTGTTGATGCTGGGCTGGTGCCCGAAGGAAACCTTGCTTGACCTATGTTGCTCCAAGGCCCAAGAATCCAGTGAGCCAATCGTTGGACGTGAATACTGGTGGTTCATTGGCAGCACTTTGCGCTGAGAGTTTCCTGGTCTGACATCCTCTGAAAAGGCCAGTGAAGAATGCTCCTCATCCCTGGGTTGCTTCCCATGTATGGGCATTTTGAAGCCACATCTCCAACTATAGAGATCCATGGCTGAACAAAAGCTTACAAAAAATCAAATTTGGAATTGGTGTTCGTTTAGTCCAGAAGTCAACTTTGGCCAGCTGAGGATTACACCAGGTGAAAACCCATATCCTTTTGGAAGGAGGCCTGCCTCATGATATGTCGCCGGTTCAAGTTCAATAATCGTTGGAACAGTTGTTTAAATTCACCAGGATCCACCTGCTGACTTTTGGCCTCCAAGGTCTAACAGTCTAACCTGTGAACATTTCAAGCGAATTTTGAATCATTGCTTTGAATCTACCAGGCAGTACCGCCTGACTTGCCTCAAACTGCCAAATGGCTGATACAAGCTTAGCCTATTTGATCCTATTTGCGTCGCTTCTTTTACTGATGAGAGGAGTGAGAGGAAAACGGGAGAGGCGGCATGTTTCTTGTCCAACTGCATGTCCTCGACTATATTAGCGTACTAGTAGACCCCAAACAGCTTATATAGTCGGGAAGAATTATTGTTGTTGTTGCGGTGGGCAGCCGCAGCCCCAGCCCCCGCCTCGGAAAGCAACGTAAAAACGAAGAGAGGACAAGAGGGGATGAGCGCGACCGGAGACTAGCAGAACATGAGGAGGACAGGACCGGAAAGATTGCGACAAAAGGAGAAGAAGAGGACATCCGCCGGCGCAGCCTGCCACTGTGGCCAGCTTCTTTTTTCCTGCGAGAGAACCGCAAAGAAGACATCGGCTTCTGGGATTGCTTTCCGGAGTTGTCTTGCTAGCGCTTCACTTCTTTGTAGCGCACGCTTGCGCGTTGTCATGTTAATATACACGCTGACATGCTGCCACATGGCCATGCTCCGCTACTGCCGTCTTCCCGCTTGCTGGCTGGCACTTTCCCACTAGGTGCAAAACAGGACTTGTGCGCGCGCAATTGTTTTCTCACGTTGTTGAACCCTTTGATGACCCTTCAGGATTGGGGGTGCTGCGCGCGCCCGCTTTCACGCTGTCATGTCTGCATACTGCCACGCTGTCATCCAGACAAGAGCAGAAGGACAACAAGGGGACAAGAAGAGGACAAAGGGAGGACAGGAAGAGGACAACAAGAGGAGAAGAGAAGGACAAGAGGAGGAAAAAAAAAGGGCAAAAAGATACAAAAAACATACAACAAAAGGACAAGGTGGAGACGGGCTCGCGGCAGCGCCCGGCTGGAAGCAGAACAAGAAGAGGACAACAGGTGGACAAGAAGGATGACAGGCGGACATAGGGTTCACTGGCGCGGCCAAGCTGGACACCAGCAGAAGGAGAACAAGAGGACAGGCAATACAACCGGACAAGAAGACAACAGGAACGAAACATAGAAAAAGAAAACAGGAGGAGCAAGGACGCTACTAGTAACAAGAAGCTACTAGGAGCAAAGGGCATCGCTACTAGGAGCAAGAAGCTACTAGGGGCTCCTGGCTGCTCAGTGGACTTCTCAGAGGAGTCTAGTCTGCCCGGCGTCGACGTGGCGAAGCGGAAGGGCCAAGCGGCAACACAACACCGCGATGAGTTCAATTGGCAGAAATGAATTCGGCGCCAGATTGTTCGTTCAAGGTTCACAGTCACTAAGATCACTAAGATCAAACCAAGGTGCCTTCTTGTACCCGAGATCGAACCTACCAGGTCTGACGGTTTTCTATGAACGAAGTTGCAAAAAAATCTTCTCTTAGACATAGACGATGACATGATGACATGTCTAAAGTAAGACACTTAGATTATACGGCATCGCTTTTAAATATACGATTTTCTAAAACAACAGGTATTTTAGACTACCTCCGGCAAGGTTTTTGCCAGCCCGGCCAGACCCTTTAAACATACGGAATGAGTATACAGCATACGATTTAAATATACGGTCAGGCGATCTTGGTGGTCTAGGTGGTCCTGGTGGTCCAGGTGGTCTTGGTGTCCAGGCGGCCCTGGTGGTTTTGATTTGGTGGTGTGGCACCTCCCCATACAGCCTGCAGCCCTGAACGTAGTAAGAGTCCTAGTCCTTGATGAGTTCTACTTCCTGTGAGAGGGTTTGAAAAAGCTAGATCGACCTGGCAGAAAGCAAAGTTGTTTCTCAAAAAATCGGGTTCTGTAGGTGCCAAAAACTGCCTCGTTACAACATGTAGAAGAAATGTCAACAGGGATCCGTCTACATTTTAAATATACGGGGCCCGGCCAGACCCTTTAAATACACGGTGGGAACAGGTATTTTAGATTACCTCCGGGGCCGATTGCTCTGGCCAGGCCACCATATATTTAAAAAGCGTTACCGTAGGACGTCTTATTTTTTGTTGTCCAGAATCCAAAAATGTATATTTTTTTCCAAGAGAGACACTTAAAAGAAGAAGATCTTTCAGATGTCCCCTTCCCGAAGGGGGTTACTGACAACATCAGTGTAGATTTGCTTGTGGACCTTCCGTTTTTGCTTGATGAATGCAGTCAGTAGGAAAATATATAAAATTTTAATAACATAAATGTTCTGAACATTTCTGATCTGAAGAGAAGCCCTATAGATCCTATAGAAGCTTCATATTACATTTGAATGCATAGGAATTTCACTTTCCGCACGGCCATTTTGGCTCAAGGGCCCTTGAGCGCGGTCCGAGCTACGACCTACTTCCTACTTCGTTGTGTGTGAGGAAAGATCGTTGCGGACTTCAGGAGCCGACACTTCGATTACGTTCAGATCTGTCTCATCCTGACGGATTCTTTTGCTTCCCTTCTCCCTTCTTGAACTTTTACTTTTGACTCTTGGTATCTTGAATCAGTTGTCGACCGCAAAAAATCCTAGAGCTTCTTAGACCAACATGTGTCTGGGTACGTTCGACTTTGACTCTCTTGAGCATTTTGAAGGGTTGGGTCGGTCGTAGTTGGGGATCGGTTTTGAAGCAGTTTGTTGATGGCCACGTACCTGAGTTCATCCGCGCTTTTTGGATCTTTTTGGTTTGTCTTGAGTCTTGAGTCTTTGTTTTTCTTTGTCATGTTCCTGTCATTGATAGCTGCGCTTCGCGACCCCGTCGCCGAAGCGACGGAAGTGCGGCTGGAAGTCTCTGCCCGCGGTGTTTTTACCCCTCGGCTTCCGGGTGGGTGTTTTTGCAATTTCAGTTTCTGCAGTTTGACGCGGTTTCATGACTATTGACTAGTATTTGCGCAGGTAGGCCAGTTTAGGTGGGTCTGTGGGATGGGTAAGCATGGCCGCACCTAGACTGAGCTGGGTATGGAAGGCAAGTTCTCGAACTGAATGCGGTAGCAGTTGAGGAATGAATTGCTCTGTACATTTTGGCTTGACACTACAGAAGTCTGACACACACACACACCAGCAGACTTGGCCCTTGCTTTGCCTACCCACCCTGTAAACGAATAGGGGTTGCTTGGCAAGGTCTCCTTGACGGGGCCCCATAAGATGAACCCTATCGAGGTTTCTTGATATGGTGGTCTTCGCCCCTCCTATCATATCCTAAACTTCTCCCGTTATTTGACACCTCAGCGCTGCGTGTCCAAACACATGCCTTGCGCTGCGCAGAGAATTGTGGCTCGGTGGTGTTTGATACGCTTGTGACAATTCCGTAAACGAACTTGGAACAAACAATCAGCGATGCGATTGGTTTTGAATGGTGCGCGGCGATGCATAATGACGCGCCTGCACAGCCGCGTGCCAACGTGGCACAGCTTGCTCCAAAGGATAACAGTTTTGACAACGTGCGCTCTCAAAGCTCACACGTTGAGACAACATGTGCTTTATTCCAAGACGATGCTGGGTCATTTGTCTGAAACAAATCTTGTTCAGCCCATGTTGCTTTGTTGTGACTTCAACAATATTCAAAGCCTTCAAGACTCTGAAGACTTGTAGTTTACAGTAATTGTCTATGTTGCTAAATATAGTTTTGGAATAATGCAAAAGCCTGCGGCCTTCGGCCAAAGGCCTTTAGACTCCCTACTGCAGCTGCATACCAGGGATGGACAATGACTTGTCTTTCCAACATGTCTGTTGCTGCTCGACGAGAATCCGCCGGCCCTTGGGCGCCGGTGTGTTTTATCAATGTGGCTTGTATGTAGCCTAAGTTATGTTGAATCTATATGTAATAAGAAAAGTGTCTCTGGAGCAAGTTTTTGCCTTGCCTAACTTGACCCCCCCCCTCCCCCCCTCTCCCCCCCGTATGTAGCTCACATATATCATAGCTAAAGTGAAAGGTTGTGTGCGCTTCCTTCTTATCGTCGTTCTTCTCTTGTCGTTGTCCATGCACTGCGCTTCTGCTTTGCACGCGTTTTCTCAGGTTTTGCACCTGCACTCACGTATCTATCCTTTTTTGCAGACCCAGACTGCTTGGAAATCCCCATGCCACACATGTCCTCATTACTCTCTTGTATCATGTCTGACGGAGTGCTATGTACTATGTACGTTTGCTGCTTCGCACGGTCTACTTTGCTCATTGTGTCACATGTCATATAATTTGTCTTCTTGCTTGGCAGGCTATACTTTGCATCCCCCAATTTCATCTCCCTGTTCTCTTATTGTATCATAATGCACGTCATTTCATGTAGGCTCCTCTGTTGCTCCAGCTGTGTTCTGGATGACGCTGTTACTTTTTCTGCTCTCTTGTAGTCTTTCCTCTTGACGCAAAAGGTAATCCGCATCTTGGGACCATTGGCTGAAAAGGCCGGCGGAACAACCCGCAGGGTGTAAATATTCAGAATGTTCATTAAGTGTATAATGCTCCTACATGAAGGCAGTGACAAGTCCTCTTACCGGTCAGCTCTGTCTTTGGCAATTGTGGCTCTGCTGCCTGCAAGTGTCAAATCAAATCGAAAGCAAGCGGACATCATGTGAAATCGGTGAAAACAATTGCCTTAGGAAGCATCAATGGAGAAACCTGGCTGACTCTCTTTGCATTCTTTGCCTTCAAGGAAAGAAGATGAAAAAATGAAAAGTCGAAGTAAATTTGTGTTGTTCTTTTGCGTCCAGATCTTCAGATATTATTAATCTTCCTCATCGTCCAGCCTTGGCCACCTTTGTCTTTGACCCCTTTTTGCTTTTCCCCTTCGTTGTTGCTCTTTTCCCCTGCAAAATTGTTATCTGAACTCAACTAATCCCTCTGGATCTGTCCCCTCCTTTGGAACTGCGTCTGCTTTGTCGGAGATATCCTGCTGAAGAGCAAGACCAAACTCTATCTTTCCAGACACAAGCCAGCTGTTGGCAAGAAAGAGATAGTAACAATTGTGTTTCATGATGGTTTTAAAATGTAAATTGTCTCAATATGACAAGGACAACGGTGTCTCAGCGCTTGGATTCTACTGCACAATTTCGGCAGGCACCTCGTTGAAAAGCAGCACACTGGGAGGAGGACCCCTGCAAGCTGGCTTGAACTGCTCTGGTGGTTTGTGATCATCAAACATGCGTTGTAGTAGAGCTTCAAGGTGCGACGGCACTCAAAATTATTTGGTGGACCACGAACGACCCACTGAACAGTGATCAAGACCCAAGAATCCAATCAATATGGTGTGCCTTGCTCGTCTTTCCAATTCGTCAACTGTCTCATATAGCACCTGAGTGCCAATGCATCGGGCTCAAAGATACGGAGCGATGTTGAACCAATGCCGGGAGACTTCTCGATTTTGCTGGAGGATGTCTGTTCGGGCAGCAGCTTCCAGCCTGACTGTAAATGAGTCAGTCTCACCCAACTTCCGACACAAACAAACCATGTTCCAAGGTGAGTCACTATATGAGACCCTTCTGAGGCTGCGAAGTGGAACGACTGGAACGACATGGAATGAGATGAAGTTATATATTATGAGTATAAAGTTACAGTTAGAAAGAAATTGTCTTCGCTGGCAAAGGTCAGGACAATCTCTTGATCAAACTGTCCAGCAGCTCCCACGGAACCCTGGGCAAGTTTGAGCAAGGTACCTTTGTATTCTTGTTCAACAAAAGCAATTCACAGTTGTGTGCTTCAACCCAGCTGAAAGATCTCAAAGTGCCAGACTTTTTGAAGACAGTCTCATGGATTCCGCGAACCTCATTCACCCCGACACACCACACAAGCTTCACACGACAGCTCCAACAGCGCATAATTCCTGAGATTTGAGCAAGTCCTTCAACGTACGATGTTTCTGAAAGGCTAATGAGGGGCTCCAAAAGCGTCAAGATGACCTCAGTTCTGAAGGATCTGTGAGAGCTTGAAAGCAAAGCAAAAAACAATATGGAGCCCACGAACCCGAATGCAAACACGTTCAAAAAGCTACATATGTCCAAATGACACTCTTGTAGGACACTCTTGTGGGACACTCTTGTGGGACATTCTTATGGGACACTCTTGTGGGACACTCTTGTGGGACACTCTTGTGGGTCACTCTTGTAGGAAACTCTTGTGGGACACTCTTACGGGACACTCTTGTGGGACACTCTTGTGGGACACTCTTCTGGGACGCTCTTGTGGGACACTCTTATGGAACAGTCTTGTGGGACACTCTTGTGGGACACTCTTGTAGGACACTCTTGTGGAACACTCTTGTAGGACACTCTTGTGGGTCGCTTTTGTAGGAAACTCTGGCGGGGCACTCTTTTAGGACACTCTTGTGGGTCACTCGTGTAGGAAACTCTTGTGGGACACTCTTATAGGATCCCCGTTGATATTTAGGGTGAGGGGTCGGGGTCCCTATTTGGTAGTAAAAATCACTACAAAATGTCAGCGACCAACGTCCCATCCCTACAAAGTGACTCCAAAAAAATGGACTCATTTTGTAGGGAGGGGATAGGCCAATTATACAAAATGGAGGGGGCCAAGGTCATTGCTACAAAATGGGGCGCGGTCTGGAAGGGCCTACTCATTCGGTAGTGAGTTTGACCAGGAAACTGTCTAGACATTATGGAATTTTCATCATTTTTCCAAAAAAAAACATAAATTTCAAGAAATGGCCTCAAAACTCTTGAAACATCAAGGGAGGATAGGAACTGAAGGAATTTGACCAGGAAAATAGCAAAAAATTAGAAATTAACTAGCTACTTTTTACACTTTTTCTCCTCTCCCCCTGTCTCTTCCCTTAACGGTGGGAGGCCCACCGAGTCCGAACGTCCGAACAGGTGAGGGGAGTCATGGGGGGTCCGAAGAGGTGACCCGAAAGTTGACCGGCGGCGGAGCGAACGGCATCGAAACCGGGAAACCTGTTCGGATTCATCGACGGAGTGTGTCCCGAAGGCGGTCTGATTCGGTGGGACTCCCCCGTTAAGGGAAGAGACACAGGGAGAGACAGTTCAGACACCCATATCCATCCATTATGATTCCCTACAAAATGAAGGACCTCCCCTACCAAATAAGTACACCCAACCCACAAATCGTGCATTCTCTTTTCCCTACTCAATAAGTACACCCAACCCTCTTGCTGCCTACAGAATGCTGGCATCCCAACCACAGGGGTCGTGCGTCCAAACCCCTTTACTACTAAATGTGCATTCTGTAGGAGGGTTAACCCCCACCATTCTGTAGGCTAAATACCATCACTGATCTTATAGGACACTCTTGTGGGACACTCTTGTAGGACACTCTTGTGGGACACTCTTACGGGACACTCTTGTAGGACACTCTTGTGGGTAACTCTTATGGGACACTCTTGTCGGACACTCTTGTGGGACACTCTTGTGAGGAGAGCGGGTGGTCATGGGGCCTGGGTTTTGGTTGTCCCAAAATTTTAGGTAAATGCTTCAGTGGCAGCCCCTTTCCATATAAACACATACATAATCGATTCCTGCTCTCTCTATATGAACAAATATATTAGGTATTCCTGAATCAGTGTCATTTTATTGTTTTGGAAGCAGCAAGCAGTCATTCAGATGGTTTTGAACAAGATGAGTAGGAAAGAAGTAACTAGGCCATAAAAGTGTTTATCTTAACAATTGTCCTCTAGATCTCTGCTTATAATTATGTTTAGATTTGGAAAGATTTTATATAGACGCCTTTTTGTTATAAAAGATTCTCTCTAGATCTCTGCAGATTATCATTCCCGAAAGCATTGCGAAGGGTTCTTCCGGAAAATCTCTTGAACACTGACACTTCTACACTTACACTCACAGACTGACACTTCCACACTTGCACTTGAACACTGACATTTCGACACACTTGAACGCTTACGCTTTCACACTTACACTTGAACATGAACATGAACACTTACACTTCTATACGTACCCCAGTGTAAGTGGAAGAGTGAAAGCATCCAACGGCAAGTATCCAAGTGCAAAAGGAAATGTGCAAAGTATGCATTGAGTATGCATGTATGGAAAAAACTTGCACGGGAGATGTCCTAATGAAAAGCATTTCCCCACTTTATAATTGTCTCTCTTAAAGGCGGAGGGTGGGACGAACAGCGTCAACTGAAAATGCAACCCTCTGCGGAGATCGCGCGTGTCGAGCGCGCGAAATGCAGGCGAGAGCGCGATTTGTCGGATGCGCGCGCAACCCTCTGCGGAGATCGCGCGCGTCGAGTGCGCGAAATGCAGGCGAGAGTGCGATTTGTCCGGCGCGCGCGCAACCCTCTGCGATCTCCGCGCGTCGAGTGCGCGAAATGCAGGCGAGAGTGCGATTTGTCCGGCGCGCGCGCAACCCCCTGCGGAGATCGCACGCGTCGAGTGCGCGAAATGCAGGCGAGAGTGCGATTTGACCGGCGCGCGCGCAACCCTCTGCGGAGATCGTGCGCGTCGAGCGCGCGAAATGCAGGCGAGAGTGCGATTTGACCTGTTCCCGCGCAACC